AAAAAAAAAAAAAAAAGGCAATAGTGTTGCCTTCCGTCTTTTAGTCATCAACTTTGTGTTTATGTTTCTGGTAACAATTTCTCAGTGATAAATACAACTCTTGTTCATGAGTGCCAAAGCACACCCCTGGTTGTCTTACAACTTACACAAGCAGGTCAAACTATAATGACCTTGCCCCTTGAGTACAATTGTTTTACATTACAGCATACATGTAAAAAAAAAAGCAATGTAGCACATCTTCTGTAGTACTTTACTCTATTTATACAACACACAAAATACATACTGCATCTCCATCTGGTATTAAGTTGAAATATTCTGTGTACTGGTAGCTCATTCCAACATTGTTAACTATCAAGAGAAAAAATAAAACCATCAAATAAAACTTTTCTGAAATCACACATAAAGATAGTAACATAATAGATAATGCAAAAAGATGGGGAAATAATTTTTAACTTATTTTATTTACAGAATATACTTAAAACATACAAATGAAATTTTAAGGAAACAAAAAGAGAGAGAGAGAAACAAATTTGATACATTTAAAATATAACCTTGATAAATCATTATGAGAACACAATTAATTTCCATGAGTAGAATGGTCTGATTCAGCATACATGTAAATATCATTTTTATTCTTTTCCACTGCTTTTAACACAACCTTTAAGTACTATAATTACTTTGAAAATGAGAGTTTCACTTACATAGTCTTCATTTCATTAGTTAATTTCCTCTTTAAAAGAACTTTACTATAACATCTATAAAATCCATAAAAAAACTAGTTAGCAGAACATTTTCTAAATTAGATATAATTTTAATTGGTTAAATTTTCTGAATTTTACTTAAACATGTAATTTCACTGATGATTAAGAGTAATATGTATTTCTACATTACCCAAAACACCAATTTCTAGTCCTTCCAGCTCTTGTCTTATCTTGTGGTAGATGTCAAAAGTTCCAGTAAAATCCACAGAAATCACCTTGGTTTTCACAACATACATTTTCTCTGAAAATAATTATCTGAAGATTAATAGGATTTTTCAATTACAACATCTTATGGCTTAAGAACAAGAAGGTATGCCAAATACTAATTATTTTGGAACAGTTTCAGATTTGCAATCTCTAGACTCTTACCAATCCATAAATGATCACTAGGCTCCCATAAATAAGTAATTTCATATATTATATATAAATATACATAAGAGGTATTAAAAAAATTACCTGTTCACATTTACAAATGCTTGAATTATGTTACTTTTCATGTTGTAAAATCATATAGAAATACATTTGTACATCCTTACACTAAAAAAAAAGTATTTTAACTTCCTTTAGCTGCTAAATCTATTAAAAAACACATTTATTCAATAACTGTCTATTAACTATACACTTAGTTATTGTATAGATATAGTTGATTGTGTCTAGATATTAACTTGGCACTTTTCACATACTGTACTAAGCTACCAAGTAATGAAATTAGATTCAAATGTACCGAGTTGCTTGGTTTTCAGTTTACAACTTCAAACTATGTGCTTTTATTTTACAAACAAATTACGTACCTATTTCTTCAGCAACTGTCTTCAACTTGTCTGGAGATCGGCTGATCAATACTATGTCAAATCCCTTAGAGGCTAACTACAGGAATGAAAAAATATTTTGTACTGAAACACAGGAAAAGTTGGAAAAACGAAAGAGTGGCATAAACCCTCTTACATATTTGTGTGTCATTTGTACTCAGTTATATAAAGTGTGGGAAGTAAGGAAGAAATCAGACACTTTTCTTAAAGCAATTTACCTACATGTTTACATAATTAAAAAAGATTACTAAGTACATTTGACTGTTTGTTGAATAAACTATGAGATGATATTGTCACACATATCCATGTGGTATTACAGCATTCTAAAGGTCAAATGCTGGCTAAACTCTGAGAACTGACCAAAGGCACACAGGGATAGGACAGCAGAAAGGATAAAC